CCCCCGTGGTGGTGGCAGCCCCCCCAAAGCCACATTCTCCCCCCCTTGCACCCCACAACCGTCACCTACCGAGCCCCGCAGAGCCTCCAGGTCGCAGGTGAGGGCCTGGAGCTGGCGCCGGTACTCGTTGGCCTCCTGCTTGGCCCCGCGCAGGGCCTCGACGTGCCGGGCAGCCGCGTCCGTCAGGTCTGCGAACTGCGGGGAGCGACACGTGCCACGTGGTGACACGTGGTGTGGGGACGTGCCCCTGCTCTGCGCCACAGCAGGGATGTGGCCCTGGTGGCACATGGCATGAGGAAGCGTCCCTGACCCTGCAGGGTGGTGGCCCCAGTGCCATGCATCACTGGGGATGTGTCCATGCCCACATGGGACACGCACTTGGTGGCACTGGGGGCATGTCCCTGTTCCTGCAGCAAGAAGGGACACAATGAACTTGCCCTGAGGACATCCCAGCTCCCATGGAACGGCTGTGGCCCCAGCAGCACATGTCGTGGGGACACATCCCTGCTCCCATGGGAGGAAGGGACAGCACACACGGGATGTGCACCCAGTGCATGTGGGGCTGGGACGTGTCCCTGCTATCGCGGGTGGAAGGGACAGTGCACATGATTGATGGCACGTGTTGTGGGGACACATCCCTGTGCCCTTGAGGTGATGGGACAGTGGATGTGGGACACGTCCCTGATGGCTGCTGTTGCTGGGGATATGTCCCTGCTCTGTGGGTGGGAGGGATGGTGTCTTCAGATGTCACAGGGGACATGTCCCTGCTTCTGTGGGATGGTGCATGTGGGTGATGCCACTGTGAACACAGCTCCTTAGGGACTGTGCCTACATGACTTACCGCAGGGGACACATCCCTGCTCCCCACAGGGACCAAACCAGGACATGGGACAAGAGCAGGGACAAGGAGGATCCCAAACCACACGTATCATAGAACCATAGAATCCCAGACTGGTTTGGGTTGGGAAGGATGTTAAGAACATCCAGTTCCGACCCCCTGCTGTGGGCAGGGATGCCTCACTATAGACCATGCTGCACACGGCGCTAACGCTACCACCACCTCCACCAGGAGCTACCCAACCCTGGGGAGATCAACCCCAGCCCTAAGAAGGTGACATCCCGGGAGGGGACTCCCAGACCACCTATCCATGGGGCGACTGGTTCCTCCTGCACCTTGGACTTGTACCACTCCTCGGTCTCCTGGACGTTGCTGGTGGCCATGGCCTCATACTGGCTGCGGATGTCACG